AACCACCCACAAAGTTACTTCATAACAGGTTTATAAGACATGTATTTTGATAATTTCAAGGGGTCTATGTGTAGTTATTTTCATGTGAAGAATATAAGTATGCCTAGAGTACATAGTATTTATATTGTTGTCTGTCTTGTATCTTCCCCTCTTTGTTGTGTTTTAATTTGTCGGTGTGTTAAATTTTTAGAAAATTGTTCTGATGTGTTGTTTTTCTATTTTTGCCAAAATATAGCGTATTGTAATTTAATGTGATACTGTTCCTATCTTTTTTAAAATATGAATGTGTTATATGTTACAGCGTGGCTCCTCCAAAACGGGATACTGACACTGGCAGTTGGGAGGCCTCTCGTGTGTGATTCCATAATTCACATGAGAGCATGTTCTTGAATTACACAGGTTAAGGGTTAAAACGGCCAATCTTCGGATAGGTAGACACACGCCCTTATTTGTTCATCTTTGTGGTTGTTTATGCGCTGTTCTTATTTTGATTTCATTCTGTTGTGAAACCTTTATTATTCACGTTTGTACACTCTGTGTGGCTACAAATGATATTCTGGATGCTTAAAACAGAGCACAAGAAATGTTGATGCTTTAGATTAAGTTACATGTATTAACATATTGCTGTATACATACGTCGTCACAGACAGTTGAAAGCTTGAACATTAATGGCAACTTTTATGTCACTTTTGCCATTTTTTGTGGCAACTTTTGGCGACTTTCGGACAAAAAAAATGGAAACAAACGTAGATGCTAGATAAGGCTCTTGTCAGAATAAGCATCAATGTGTACTGTTCTTTAAAGTATGTATCTATATAACTCCAAAGGTCTAGTAATTCAATTTCTGCATGTGGTTGAATGATGCATCTGATGTGATATGTACATTTTGTCAGCTTTACTTCTCTTTTCATGTTGAATTTTAATGAGAGTTATATATAATTTAAATTTCTACGGTCCTGTACAGCCAAGAAAAATTTCCCTCTGGGATAATAAAGTATTATCTTATCTTATCTTATCTTACAATTGCCGAAGATTAGAGGTGTTACAAGAGAATAACAAACACATAAAAATGAGGAGGAGAGATCGGGACGATGGATGTTTGGTAGGAAAGAAGGAACAACCCACACCAGAGCACCCGCCTACCACCAACCACATCATCATCATCATCATCATCATCATCATCATCATCATCATCATCATCATCA